TTTGGTGTGACGGGTATTCGAACCCGCAGATTGCAAGTCGAGTGCCCTAACCACCTGGCCATGTCGGGCTATGAGAGAAACACGTACTGTCTGTATTTTTATGCTTTCTAGATTCTATCCCCAGGTGATAAAAGCGACCTACTAAAAAGCTATTCTTCAAACAATTTCTTCATACTCAACAAGTTTAGATTTCTAATACATGCCCTCAGGTATTTTAAATGTCCAAAATATTTATGCCTTAGGAAAAGCTATGGAATAAAACTAGGTTTGCATCATAGCAAAGATGGTAAACGATAAATCTAAATTAATTCAATGCAGTGCAAAAAAAAAAGAGACAAAGTTTCGGCAAAGCAATCATTAATGAGATAACAGCGTAACTTGAAAATCATTGCCTATATATTTGAATAATGTCTTGGTAAACTTACATGTGTGGCTTTCAAATATAAACTCCATAGATAGTCGATTTAACTATATTTATTCACTATTCTTATAAAAATGGTTATTATAGTATTTTTGCACAAAATGCTTTTCACATTTTAATAAAAACTAATTCAAGTTGGTTAGTGTAACAGATTAAACCATTAGGACAGTATTGTGTAAATATTATTTTTATGTCATTTAAACATGACATATATTAATGTAAAAAACTTACAGTTTGAAATATCACCTTATGATATAAAGGTTTTATTAACACACTTTAAAAACTCATGTAAGTTAGAATTACAACATTAATTAAAATCACGTTTCAGAAATAGCTTAATGTTTTTGTTTCTGAGTTGAAATTAGTTGAAATTCCACCTGAGGAAGAGCGCTTTAAAGAGCTGGTTGGTTAATAAAACCATTAGACTACAATATGGTATTTCAGCTTGTAGCTTGTATTTTTATATTATATTAAATTAATCGTTTGCAAACAATGTAAAATAGGGGTACACAGAACTCTATTGTGCTCATTAGAGCCACTTTTGATTCTTCATTGCACAGTTTGTTTGTTTGTAGTTAAGCACAAAGCTACACAATGGACTACCTGTGCTCTGCCTACCAAGGGTATGGAAACCCGGTTTCTGGTGTTGTAAGTCCACAGACATACCCATGCGCCACTGAAGGGGGGGGGGGCTTCATTGCACAGAGGAGAAAGACATAAAAACACATTTTAAAGTATTTTACTTTATTTCTAACACTCCAACGAAGCAAATAAACTCTTAAAAAACAGAATTTCTAGTGTTGATGAAACAAAAGCAATAATAATTTTTAGTATCATATTGGAGAATGTTTATTTTTGTTACTCAAGAATAAAGTTTAGTCTTTGCATGTAACGTAAGACAGCATTGCGTGAATGTTTGACATAACAGCATAAGTATATGTTTATCCGATAGCAATCGATTCTATTTCCCTTCTGCTCCAGTACACAAAATTCCCCCAGGACCGAAGCAATGGCAAAAGAGTGGATCGTCTTTCTTTTTGAGTAGCTATTTCCAACCAAGAGCCGTCCTGGTTCTCGTCCTCCTGCAGGCTAAATTCGATACTGCAACATTTCACTCAAATAGCTTCACTCATAAACGTTCTCATGATTGAGAGTGGAACAAAATTTATGGACTAGCGACAAGTTTTGACAGAAATAAATGTTGAGTCTCTAACTTAGTTTTATCGCACGTAAAGATTATATAGAGTTAGCATCTTTTCTAAATAATATTAAGTTACCGTTATAAAAGTATTTCTCTGAAAAAAGCGTAGCCTAATCTTTAAACAGCTCTGCTATTTCACAAAATAGAACTATAGCTATAAATGTGTATATATACAATATAAGAGCTTATATTTCTGTCTCCTAGTGGTTCAGCAGCAATTCTGCAGGCTTACGACGCTAAAAATCGGGTTTCGATACCTGTGGTGGTCAGAGCACATACAGCCCATTGTGTAGCTCTGTATTAAATAACAACCAAAGTAGATATTTGTTTGTTTTTTGAATTTACGATATTTGGAAAGTTCGCAGGATCAAAGAAGTAGATTAACCACAGTTGTAAAAAACTGATGCTTACATGAAATAAATATTACTCCACCTTGGGAAATGAATTAAGATCGTGCAGGAAGTGTGAAAGTTCGTTAAGAGGTCGTGAGTTTCAATCTTTGTCCACCCTGACAATCCAGAACTGTTTATGTTGGGTTTTTGTAAAGAAATGTTACAGTTACAACAGTGGCATTTGGTGCTGGGAAATTAAAGGTACATGCGAAACAGAAAAAAAGTAAACTTCAGAGGAAAAGGAATCATTAAACACAGATATAGAAATATCTTGGGTAAATGAAATAGAAGAATTGACTTTAAAGCATGTTGGATGAAGAAAGAAGTCGACGAAAGACTTAAAATATAAGAAAGGATTAATACTAAAACAAAAACAGAAATAATATACTGAGGGTTATACCTAGAATATACATATGAAAGTATATACAAACAACCACAGTACTTCAGAAATAATTCATTTAATCGAACCAATGTTTCACCATTACGACTTCATCAAAGTTTTTACAGAACAGATCGATATAGTCAAAGCTAAATTGAATTATAAATTTAATGTTCTATTTCATTAGCCACAAGTTGATCCAAGCGATGCTAGAAATAACATCGTCACACACCGATAATTACAGAGAATTGCCATTGTTATAAGAGTATCAGTAATATAATACATATAATTAACATATTTTTTTAATTTTAGAAATAAACACTGAATATCTATTGTATTACAAATGCCAGTCTTTATGTGATTGTAAGTTGGAGTAGAGTTTGTTTGTTTTTAATTTAGCGCAAAGCTACACGAGGGCTATCTGCGGTAGCCTTCCCTAATTTAGCAGTGTAAAACTAGTCATCACCACCCACCGTCAACTCTTATACCAACGAATAGTGGGATTGACCGTCACATTATAACGCCCCCACGGCTGAAAGGGCGAGCATGTTTGATGGGACGGGGATGTGAACCCGCGACCCATAGATTGCGAGTCGAGCGTCCTAACCACCTGCCCATGGTTGGAATAGAGAAATTAGTATAATTTCTGTGTATAAATAGCCAGAAACTCCAGCCATGACAGTTTCAAATCAGAAGCCTTTGAACATTTAACATCCTTTACTAAAATGATACCCAGAAGATTGTGTAGACAAATCATTTCTTAATTTTAGACATCAAAAACGTCGGACCATAACTCAAGATAGATTGAAACCAACAGCCGCGTTTACCATCCCTTACATCAGTAATCACTTCACTGCAGAAATACAAAACTATCAAAGGGGTAAAAAACTCTGACTTTCCTATTAGTGTTGTACTAAAACACAGCAACACTCTACGACAAGTTCTCAAACGATTCTGTTTACAGCTGTAAATGGTATATTAAAGTCCCGAGGCACAACTTTTGAGCGGATTATTTATTTTATTTTTTGTTTGACTTTATTAGAACGTTCCGACCACTCAAGTAACTGTCGTCTAATGTGTGAAATATTGCAAAATACGACAGTTACATGATGATGGTCACACGAGTGGTCGAAACGTTGTAGTAAAGTTAAACAAAAATAAATAATCGAGTCAAAAGCTGAACCTATTGAGTTTTATCTTAAGTGTATAGTGGATTTCCCCTCCTTACATCAAGCTGTTACTGTTGTAATAAAAAATAACTTCTTACTAAGTCTGCTGGTGATGGAGATCAGTTTGTTGTTTCTAGTGTAGCTTAAGAGCTAAACTGTTGAAATTGTTCTAAAGTTTATAACAGGCAGTCAACTAACTACACACCCATTTTGCTTAATATTTCGACGCTTTCAACCAGATAGAAGTTCCTCCAGAATAAATTTCTCTTCTTCAGTTTACAACCAATAGAGGTAAAGGCTGGCATCTATATAAATATAATAGTACTGGTTGTTGTCTCTTGTATGCCCATGTAACTACTTCGCAGGATGTGGATGGATTTTCACCAAAATTGGCATGAAGGTTTGTTGGGTCCATGTGGAAATACATACAAATTTGTGGTTTCACATTTTATTTCTTGCAGTTTTTATGGACGTTTATACATTTTTTACAATTACATATAAGGGAAGCAGCTTTTTATGTCCTAAAATAATCTTTCATTAATCATGAATTTACATAACTTCCATCCAGGGGACGGGTACTCCAGCTAGTCTATAATATAATAAATATTCAATGTTTATTACTAACCTTAATAACATTTTTGTTTATATATGTATTATATTACCGTTACTCTTATAACAATAATAATACTCTGACTGTATGGTTTCGTAACAATGTTATTTCTATTGAATCACTTTGGGACTAATGCCACGTGAATTATAACATTTACTTCATAATTTAATTTAACTTATCACACAAATTGTTCGATTACGAGATTATTTCTAAATACTGTGGTCGTTTTGTATATAATATAGTTATAACAATGTCTAAAATACTCCAGTAAACTCCACAAGACCTAAAAAGAAGATAAAAAAAAGTGTTCGTAGTTTGCACGTAATTGAAGACTAAGTACACTATTTTTGCTGATACACTAAAGCTCGAAGATCACTGACGACAGAATCAAAATTAACCCATTAAGGGTGAACGTAATATATATGAAAACTCTATAGGCTTCTTTCAAATTCTGTCTTCTAAATATTTAAATGCAGCTTTGATACCAAGAGAATCACGTCATTAATAGAATGGTCAAACTTATTAAAATGTTAGTTGCAAGAATAGTTATAGTTGTTAAAACGTTCTCTAGGGGCCATTTGGATTTATCCATGAAACTCATTGTTACATGTTTATATAATTTGAGACAAATGACGTTGCGCAACGCCATTTATTTCCTTACACCACTTTACTCAGTGACTCCTGATACAGCTAATACAGGACTGAGAACAACAAATAAAAGTTTCTGTTTTGTTTTTACCTATAATGATATTCTATAGATAAACTTTATGGTATAACATTTTCAGTTTAAAAGTATCCAGATATATCATATACACATGTATTACTTACGCTTCACGAGTAAAAAGTCACGGAATTCCTGAAAAATTCTGAACACAGGTGGACACGGTAGAGTTGGCCCAAACAACGGTACGGACTCTTCTGAATACACTGAAAGTCTAAAGAACACGGAGAAAAGTTTTAACTTTCATAAGACGTTTAATATGTCGTTTAGTTAATATAACTACAGATAGTGTATTGATAATTTTCTATAGTATACATATTTATATATTCTATATGTTATTGGCTCATGTTGCTACTTTCAAATATACTAAGATAAATGCATAAACTAAAGATGAGTGTTGACCTAAAAGAAACATTGGTGAATCCTTTTGAAAAAGTCAGAACAGGTGTGACTACTGAGACATAGCTAGTTCAGGCAAGACAGCTAAGGCATTGCTGCTGCAGAGTACCTCCCTGAAACATAACTAGTTATAGTATGCTATTGTTACAACTCTAAGAGAAGTGTAACTCTGAAGTATTGTTAGTAAAGGCAAGACTTCTAAGAAATGGCAAGCGCAAGCAAGACACAGCTAGTAAAGGTACGACTCCTGAGACATATCTAAAACATTTGTGGCTTCTAAAACATAGATTCTACAGGCATAGATCATTGTACGTAGTTAAAGCAGGTATGATTTTATGAAAAAAAAATATATATAATGGAAGCTAGATTCAAACGACAAAAGCAGTGCAAGCGAGAAGTTAATGGGCACATGATTATTGGAGCAATGCTAAAAAAAAAGAAAGAAATTACTATTCTGACGTAACTAAAACAGGAATGACTCCTGAAACAAATCTACTACAAGGTTGACTCTTGAAACATAGTTAAACAAGAGTGAAGTTTGAAACAGAGCTAGAACGTACATGACTCCTGACACATTAATAGTATAGTTGTGTCTCATAAGATACAGTTAAGAAAGGTGTTACTAATTAAAAATATTTAGTTTAAACGTGACTCCTAACACAGCTAGGATATATTTGATACCTGACGCATGGTAATACAAGCGTGTCTCTTGAGACATTGCTGGTACGAATGTGTCAACTGTGACAGAGTAAAGATACGTTCCTGAGTGCAAATGAACCCCTTAAGACAAGACACATACGAAACATTCATGACTCCTGAATCTTAGGTAGTCCAAAGGTGGATTTGAGACTAAAATGGGCATAACTCGTTATGCTTAGTAAGTACGGGCGTAATTAATTAGATACTACTAGTACAGATAAGACTACACAGGAAAACCTTAAACAGGTGTGACATCTGAAATAATAATAAACAGGCGTTATTGCTGAGGCAATGTTAAAACAAGCATGACTCTTAAGACATAGATAAATCAGGTGTAATTTTAGAAACATCAGTAAAATTAATATAGCATCTGAAAATCTAATATAGCAATAGATATCCCTGAGAAAAAGATAAAAAGTATGATTTCTGAGAAACAGAAATACATCAAGTTTGATATTTGAAATGCGGGGAAAATTAAGTTTGTTGGGATATAAATTAATGAATTATTAATAACTTCTGATAAGAAAAGGCAATATTAAATAGTGTGACGTAGTTGAAATCACGTCTGTTTTTGGTGACGTAACTAAAGCTTCTGAGACGCGGATAAAACGCATGAATCTCCTGAGACAAATGTACACCATATGCCGCTCTTAGGATCTAGTTCAAACTGGCATTGCACACCAAAGTGGATCTTAAGAGTATGCTAAGATAAGCTCGTTGCTTGGGTTAAACGTATAAATGTAAAGATATAATTAAAACATAATAGCCCTAAACTCTACAGATTAACATCTACAAAAAACATTATTTCTTAAAAATGAAAGCATATGTCATAACGCCAGAGAGATCAGAAAAGCGCGTTTCATTATAGACCAGAAATCCGAAGAACAAACAAACACATGGAAATTGATAACGACATAACTTACTGCATTTCACATGATAATAAATGTTAAATTTGGTATACACTAATAACCACAGTATAAAACGTTGATCTTAGTTGAAGGTTGGTATGATAACCGAGAAAAGTATGTTACTTAATATTAACTTCTGTTAAAAAAAACTCGGGCTACTACATTCAGTAGATCAGAAATATAAGTCAACCCAGTAATGATTACAGCTAATTAAATACTGTTTTTATGTTCGCAGTTATAAAAATTATAATGTATGTTTCATCAATTGGGTACCCTCGGTAAGGAACACATAATCACAAAGAAAACGTACGTAACTAACACGAGTGTGACTTGGATCATTATTATATTTGTGTGACTGAAGGAACACAGCGTGTTGAGCGCGTATGCAGTACGATGTTTTAGCTATAAAACTGATCTGAATGTAGGTACAAAATCAATAACACGTGCCTGACACTTTGGTCATAGCTAAGATATTTACGATATTTCAAATATACAGAAATTCTAAATACCCGCTTATCTTTGATGATAATTAAGATACTGGTGTGGATCTGACTACACAGCTAAATAAAAAAAAATTGAAACGTAGTCAAAATTAAGTCATTAGTAAATTCCTAAACGGATAGCTAAGAACCCTGAGATTTGACACTTTGGCCATAGGTAATGTATCTATGAACTTCAGAACTGAAGCACAAATAATTAGTATTCTATAAAACCTTTATCATATTAAGTAGTCTTCAATTACCTTTTTTTTAAAAAAATCAATATATTTCATTATGTTTTAAAGGGACACTTTTCTTCTAATTTATTTGTATTAGAGGAATTATTATGGTACTTCTTTTTTTAGAACTGATGGGTAGATGTGTTCAAACAACATTATAAAGTCATCTGTGAGCTGAAAGTGGGTATATATTTTCGAGAATATTTTAAACCTTACTATTCTTTAGTTTTCCGTATCATTAATTTTTGGGAAAGAAAGAGTTTGACGAAGTGGGTAAAATATAATATTTGTTTGAAAAGAGATGAAGCAGAATCAAGAATAATAACTGTTTTTGTTTTCACGAGATTAAAATATTAGTTGACACTTTCACAAATGGATTTCTAACAATTTCCCGAATTTGTATGAAAAAACTCACTTGTACGACTCCTCCTCTGAATTATAAGTTACAACTGCAAAGATATCTGGTGACATAAATCAAGGATCTATAGACAAGGTATAATAACAATCCGGTCTAAAAATGTTAAAAAAATCTATTATTATTTGTTCACACATTAGATAATACAAAATGAACATAATGTTCTACCGTTGATCTCACTTCACGCGATTAGAACATTATTTTAATCTTGTATTATTTATTAACATGATAACGTTGATTAAAGTATTAAAACAAATATGAAATATTGATATACTTGGTATTGATGAAAATTATAATACGAAGAAACTGAAATCTTGAAAACATTATTACTGTATCTAGAGTTATTCATCATGAAGCTAATAATAAATTAACACAAGAAGCATTATACAATCAGATAATCCGTGTTTCTTGACGCAAACAACATGAATTTTCATAATGACTGGCATATACATATCCTTATAACGACTAGAAACGATACCTGAAACACCTATCCAATAACCATTAAATAAACATGTCTCTTATACACATCAAGGTTTGATGGTAATATGTAAGATATCTAACACACAAATATTTACGTCATATTATCAGATGTAATAAAAACATTACCAAAATTGGAATATTCGAGTTTCTGTGACACACTAAAGGATACGTGTGAATTGAGATTTGATCATTGATGGCTTGAAAGAAGAATGATGCTGGTGATTTCCATCCAAAAATATAATGTTGACGATGTCGTTACCGATATGTCTTTTTCTTTCCACCTGTAATTATATAATAAGAAGGATGAACAATATTGACCTCCATTCCCAAGCGAATAACTGCGTGTTTAGTACCAAAAATTCTTTACTTGTTTTTAAATCGAATTTTATATCTTCTATTGTTTTAGTGCTATGAGATGCTTAACATTATTTTGAAATGTCAAAGAATGTTCTTCCTTAGAAAAAAAAAGAACCTTGACAGACAGGAGTTGTAAACGATTAAAATCAGTATTTAGTAGAAGTTTTAATGTGGAAGCTTCATTTTAATTCAAGCACACTTTGAGTTTCTCAGAATCCCACCTATCATAGTCAGGCGATTAAATGAAGTTTGACACTCAGGGTGTGATCAAATGATAAGGTTTCAACTATTTGAAAGTAAGGCTTTGTTTCCGCTACAACATGAGATCAGAATTATTATATCCCCTCACGTCCTACGATATAGATACCAAGTAATAAGATATCGCTCTACAGTGACAGATTTTACGATCGTTACTGAATAAATGAAAGATTTGAATGAATATTTCTGAGTTGAAAATATTATTTTGCTCTGTAACTCACTGCATCTGTTACATCAAGTGTTCGTCAAGATCCTGGAATTGGACTGAAATGTAATCGCTGGAAAACTGATAGAAGAATAAAAGTCTATCAAGTGTGACTAAATATCGTTAAAAATACTGAATAGATCATCAGCTGCCTCCCTCCCCTTTTTTTGAAAAAAATATTAGAATCTAAGAATTTTCTAATAATTTTAGTGTTAATAGAACATGTTTTTGTGGGAAATATGAAAGCAATTAAGAATTTATCATCCCATTTCTCAAATTAAATATATACTCAGCTAAAATGATATGTATAGTTTCTTTAAGTAATACACTTTGGTATCTTATATATATATACGTATGACTACAGACGTATACTATTTTAGTGACTATTGTTGTTATTGTTAAGCACAAAGCTACACAAAGGGCTATCTGTGCTCTGCTCACCACGGGTATCGAAACCCGGATTCTAGCGTTGTTAATCATCAGACATACTGCTGTGCCACTGGGGGCAACATATACTGTGAAAATCTATGGCTATCACTTTATCTGAAGCGCAACGATGCTGAAGCTCAATATTTCTTTCCCGTGAAAATACGTGAAATACTTGTCTACAAATGACGTCACGCTTGACGATTATCTCTAATGTTGCTGTCGCGTATTAGGAGTCCTACCCTATTATTCGGAAATAGAAATTTAACCTAAACGGAGCCTTAAACGCACGTGGGCTAAATGGGCAGGTCATCGACTCCTAGTGTTTAGTTATAGCAGTTTTTAATTTTGAACAATTGACCAGCGAATGAAAAGACAGCTAGCAAGATGCACTGCTTTGGTCCATTCTTTAAAGCGAAAAACGAGATTGATTGTCTGTGTTATATTATGCTAGAAATACGGAACGCTAACAGCTGTAGTATTCAGGTACGTTGATATTAAGCAGAAGAGTCTTAAAATATCCACAAAACGCAGGTTCAGGTCTGTTAAATGAAGAATATGTTGAGCAAAACACGTGTAAGGAAAACAAGCAAACACAAGTGTAAATGAAAACATTAAAAATTATTTATTAACAGCACAGTGTTGTGTTGCCTGACTTAAATTATTTGGCAAAAAAAAAACAACAAACAAACAAAATAACGTGTCATAAAAGCACTTTTAACTCACTTTAACCAATGGTCTACATGCAATTTTAAGCCAAGCTGGGGCTTCCTTTTAAAATGTTTTTTCCTAGCTTGAAACTTAAGAACAAAGGTTGCAGTATGTAACTTTTACCTGTGTAACAGTATTAGCACATTGTTTACGACCTTGAGACACACGATCAACGAGAATGTCATAACTACATGCAGAAATTACATGAAAATTTAGAAAAATAAATATCACGAGAATACACCTAAATAAAGACATAAAGATGCTTAATACGTTATACTGAAACAATTTTGTAGCCTCACAATTCTTGTCGCCACGTTCAGTCATCCTCTATCTGAAGACCGTGCATCTTTACAATAGCCCTGCAGCGTAATTTTTCATTGCAAAATACTTCATCGCAAGACTGTCTTTTGCAAAGCACACTACTCCTCCATGGAGCATTCCATAATCGATCCATTGTTTGAAGACGACGGTTCCTCAGAACCCATTTCAAGAGTCCAATCGCACATAAATCCATAGACAATACGTACGACAAATAAAACGGCATGTCTTCGTATGGAATAGTATGAATATCCGTTTCATTCTCCAGCGGCTTGAGGTATGCGACTTTTGAACGGATAAGACGTAGAAGCAACTCGTGTACGTGATGGAAATTCTTCTTGATAATGTTGCGCACTGTTTGCTTGGACAAGTGAGAAGCTTTTGCCATTAATATTTGTGTTCTTGATATTAAAACGCCCAATTTTGCTTATCACGGCTAGTGTACAACTTGTTGCAGGTGCCTATCTGGATGATCCTGGTGCCTCAAGTTTCCAATCCCATTAACTCTACGAAGGAAATCCCCGTCTTTATAAATATCTGAGCTGAACACATCTTTATGGTTTGTGTATGAATATTTTGCGTTGAAAGGGGATGTTACACACCCTTCCCAACTGCAATCAATTTTCGGCGATATCACATTACCTACGAACGCCAAACAATATTAAAATGTATTTCTGCTACATACTGTACTACCGCGACTTTATATCAACCACGATTGTTACATTACTTGTTGATTTGTATACTCAAAATTGTTTTAATATAATGTACTCAACTCTGTATTCTATACTAATTATGGAGGGGTAAATTCCATGAATATTCCAGTCACTACACCACAAAGCTACGCCCGGCCCTTATTCCTCAACCACGTTATCTATTTATTTATTTTCAGACTTGAAATGTAAGAAAGCCATGGAATATCTTGAAGGAAATATTTTGTTAAAAAACAGCATTAGTGTAATAATGTAATGAAAAACAGGCATCTAGAAACTAGTTTTTTTTTTGTGGAATATAAGATTTGTTGAAAGGGTTGGAAAATGATTTTGTATTAGTTGTTATTAAATATTATAAAACAATATTATGGAAAGAAGGTTATTTTTACAGATCCTAAAAGGCAAAAATGCTGTTTGTTTATGATGTTTTTTAAAAGAATATTAACTTAATTAAAAAACATAATAGGTTTCTTTGTTTGTAGTTTAGCATAAAGCTACACAAAGGGCTATCTGTGCTCTGCCAACAACGTGTATCGAAACCCGGTTTCTAACGCTGTAAGTCCGCAGACATACCGCTGTGCCACTAGGGGGCAGTTGATAGGAAGTTAGGTGCTAAGTTTAGAGTTTATATTGTTGTTACAAATATTTTTCCTTACTTTTTGTTATTCACCAATCTTTTGAATTTTAACAAACATTTTTACATAGGGACCAGTCATTGATAACGCTAATTTTCAAACTTAAGTTGAGCCTTGTCAGACTGCATTTTGATGAGCTGTAAAAAAGCTTTCAAGTAGCCTGAGATGCTGATTAAACAACAACATCAAAAACAGTATTGGAGCCATTACTTGTACAATCGATATGAATTATTTTTCAATTATTCATATTTTTTCCTATTATTTGAGGTTATGGTATTCGAAGATTTTGTGAAGGATGAGTACACTACAACACAACAAAGAAAACGAAATCAATACGCATAAGAGATACGCAGAAATGACCAAGACTGAGTGCTCTACCATCCCGTAAAATGTTGGTAATAAGAATAGATATTCATCATAAGACTTACTTGTTGACGATTGTCTTTAGAATAAGGCAGCAACGTGGAGACGTGAAACATTACCTCATGTCCTTCGTAAATAGTGTAGATGGAGTACTTTCCAGTCATGTCTCCTGCGAGGCAGTTACGTATAAAATATATGGCATAATGGTAAATAGAAACAAGTATTCTTTCTATTGAAAAAAGATTGACTAAATCTGTATTTACGAAACTTAAAATATCGCAAATGTAAATTTTTATGGGGAAGGATTCAGACACGTAATAGTATAACCAATGGTTAGTAGATAACATTTGCGAAGAGAGGGAACTGTAACTGCATATGTAACCAAACTAGACTTATATCATCTCTGATATACAAATTACTTATACAAATACAAATATACACATTTGATATACAAATAAAAAAAGTAGAAATATATGACTAAAAATGTCAACATAAAAAAGTCAATTAATGTTTATAACGTTATGTAAACTTTCAAACGAGATAACAAAATCACTTCAGTGGATAGCGTATGCCAATGGTTCCCAAACCTTTTTCACTGACGACACCCTTAACTTGATTTGCGCAACATCCCTGTTGCCACATGCAATATTAGTTGTAGTTTTTATGTTTTTAATTATTCTTTGTATGCTGAAAATCTCGCGACACACATAGCAATTTGCCGTGACACACAGTTTGGAAAACATTAGCGTATGCACTCAAAAGTACTAGAATGTTACCTTATTAACCTTTTTTTGTAGTATTTATACTATTAATGTTATATATGTGATGGAATGCTATGAATATTTTGTTTAATTAACTACATGTAAAATTTCAATTTATTGAAAAATACCCTAAAGAAATGATATAAGCTAGCTATTTAAACAAGGTAGTGTTGAGGTAACTTAATAACCCATCTTTTACAAACATTTGACGTCAGATACAGAATATAAGACACACTTTATTAGATAATTAATTGGCTTGGATTTCTATGCTAACTACTTGTTTGAAAATAAATAAAGGGTGTTTTCAATTAGTGGTAAATATTAAGCACGATTAAGCAAAACATAGGTCTCTGAAATGTTGTTTTCTCACACCTCTAACTAGAAATGCGTAAAATACTAACTGAAGGAATGTGAAGAAAAAAGAACTTCTACTGTAAATCATGTGTTTACCGTAAGAAAAATAACTGATGTGTGAAGAGGTTCAATAGGTCCATATCATTAAACATTAATAACTGATGTGTGAAGAGGTTCAAAAGGTCCATATCATTAAACATTAATAATTGATGTGTGAAGAGGTTCAATAGGTTCATATCATTAAATATTTATAAGAGCAAATTGATACTGACCTTTTACGTCGAGACCTCCCCTATATTTGTCCCATCCTTTCAATCGAATTCGTTCACCAAGCAGAGAGAGAAACCGGTCAAAGTTTTTACTTCCACACTCTGTAGACAGGAACAGTGTTACAGAATTACAAACACAGCACGGGTATCGTAGAGATATGTTTTAGAACATAAAAACACAGAGAATCCAAAAAAGTAGTTAAAGACAAAAAAAAGTCTGGCCAGTAGAATTTTTGAATACTGATAGAGTCACAAAATAAAAGGGTTAACAAAACTCCCAAAACTATCATATATATTATTGGTAAAACAGTCAACAGAAATCTTCAACAGTGTTACAGTCAAAAACAATAATACAACAAAAATAGAGGTTCCAAGTTGTCATTAACTAGATTTAATCAAAACAACTAAATTCCATGGTGTACAAGAATCTTGTTTGGTTGTAATCAAGCACAAAGCTACGCAATGGGCTATCTGTGCTCTGACCACCACGAGTATTGAAACCCGGTTTCTAGCGTTGTAAGTCCGCAGCCATACCGCTGTGCCACTGGAGGGGGGGAGCATATATGAATCAATAGAAAAGGCCTATAGAGAGTTTCCGAAATTTTAGTACACATCTTTATACAATAGTAACAGTCGATTTTCAAGACTACGACCTTACAGTTCCGCTATTAAAAGTGATCTTAAATTATTTTCGACAGTGCTTTTTGTAAACTCAAAAGAAGACCTAATCCCGTTACAGTAGCACAATGCAACATAAATGAAAGCCAGATATAATAATATATTTGTATAGTAGTATCGTTAGTTGGAGTTTTTAAAGGTGTCAAAATTTTATGATAGACGATTAAAAAGCCTCAAAAACTAAAACATATTGTAAAAGTATTCAGTTTTTGTATGTCATGAAAATGCGCGCGCATCTTGTTATTTAAATGCGCACGCGCACGCACTTCAATGGATGTTAATGTATTTTAGCATTCATTTTGCACAACATCATATTAGAAGCTTATAAAAGTTTTAAAAATGTCTAACGTTAGATAGATCGTAGAATAACATTATAAGTTTATTTATTGATAGTATTAAGTACGGTTAAGTTTAACTCAAAGTAAATTAAAGCAAAAAAAAAAAAGTACACAATTTATAATGTTAATTTATCTTTTCATCGAATATAGGCAGTACCTAATAAAGGCTTAACTAATGTTAGGCCTAAGACAAGTGAACTTGTAAATTTTGGTGACTGCGATTAGAATTATTTTGTGTTATTCTAGAAATCCTGTATTTATAGAAGTACTGGTGCAATAAAGATACTAATTTGGCCTCAGATATTTTGCGGGCCTCTGGTAATAGTTACATATCATACAGAATCAATATAGTTTCTAAAATTTTTGTTGAAACATAACGAAAGACTGTAGTGGCAGATATATTGTTAAGCTTACATAATAAAATAATCAACAGAATTCTAATTGTCATAAGTTCAAATAAAGGTTGAACAAAATTAAAAAAAACACAAGGTTTATAAACAAAAAGAGTCGATAGATCCCTCAATACTGTTAATATTACTTAGCACAATGATAAATCAAGTTAGATAAACGTTATAATTGCAGAACTGTTGGAAAAATGAAAGCCAACAAAGGTCATAAAACAGCGAGTTTTATGCGACCAGATAGCCATCACAAAATATCAGATATTTAAAGCTACATAATAAGAGAGTCAAAAACCAGAAAAAGTACTTGTATATCCTACAGAAAATTAACAAGACCAATACATTTGCGTTTTGGTAAATTATTTTATCAGAAGACTTTATATAACTGTTACTGCTATCTGAAAGAGGATTGATCCGAACCAACAAAATACAAAATTACTGTCCTCCGGACTCGTAGCCCTAAAATCCGGGGTTCGATTCCCCGCGGAGGACACAGCAAATAGCCCAATATGGTGTTGCTATAAAATAAACAACAGTTACGGACAGAAACTGCATCTACGGCTACGAATATAATGAAAAGTGGGAGCATAATTCAGCTATAACGGGATAACTAAAAGAAACATATAGAAGTAACGCAAATTTCGAATACAACAATAATTTAATTATATATTGATATTTATTTCCGATCAGAACTAGCTATCTACTTAGATTAAAAATAGAAATCAACCAGGTAATGAGTATAGGTAATTAAATACATTTTTCTTACGTTATTAATTATAAAGATTAGAATGCATCGTTGCATCAGTTGGGTATCCTTGTTGTTAACGATATTTTCGGTCGTAAACCCAATAATATCTCACGTAATTTGGCCAGCTTAGGAGATTTAGGTTAGTCCTAAATCATATGCTGAGCTAACAATGCAAAACAATCAAATATATATATAAGTTCAATAATAGAAAAGTATAATAATAAAAAAAATAACAAACTACATTCATTAACAGTATTTGTTAGAATTTTTAATATAAGTAACATTAAAGGAATAATAAGGTATACATCACCAGTGGAACACACAACTACTAAATGTTAGCTTCAAGTAAGAAAAAAAAACAATTTCCAAGTAAAAAAAAAAACGTATAAAATTGAACTATCAAGTATGATATACCATATTGCTTATCTTAAATGTTTCCTGAACTATTAATGACTTTACCTTCTATTTATCACGTTATTATATTATGTTACCCTCTCTTTAGCTCTTTTTCTGTAATGTTAAATCTCCTTAATTCTGCTTATATTAAATGTCAATTTGCCTACTTTATATGTATATGAAAACTGTTTTTGATCTAATAACTTTCATTATAGACTCGGAATGTATTCTATAGTGGACTGTTAGTCTTACCATTGCTGAACATTTCGTCGTCCACTGTTTGTCCTACTTTTGCGTACAAAACTCCAAACTTGAAATTAACTGAACCCTAAAACACAAAATAGTTTAGATAATAATTAATTTCTTCTAAAAGCTGGATAGTATTTTAATTACCTTATTTAGTTTTGAACAATATCACTTTGAAAGTCAGATTAAAATGTACCTCACCTTAGCCTTGCTAGCGACCTCTGAAAGTAACACAATGACACTAAGAATCAAAGCATTTCAGTTGTTACACGTTTTTTTTGTCATCTTATAATAAGAAAAGATTGTTTTACATTACTTATAAAACATGAATCGTTTGCAAATAAAACGACAAAAACATAATTATTTCTATTTTATATCGAAATTATGAGTTTACTCTTATAAAAGACTATCACTAGATGGCAGTTATTCTGAGTTGAGCTATTTTGGTGATTTGTTTGTTTGTTGGGTTTCTTGCAAAGCTATTCGAGGTTTATCTTTGCTAACCGGCCCTAATTTTGAAGTTTTAGACTAGAGA